TCTACCCCCCAGGAACGAGGTATGCTAACTTTCGCGCTATCTGGTTTATCTTGCCTTTGAAGGATTCTAACTTGAGCTTCGGAGCCCTTACGTCGGGTTCTCCCCAGAGCTTCTCTTCTCCTTCTGTTTTAGGTCCCTGTTACTCAGTTCAGAGGCAAGATCATCGACAGCTAAGACCGGCCAGATTGTGCATCATCATATGGTACACTTGGGATTCAAGACCAATAGATAACTCAATGTTACTTTTTTTAGTACTTTGGTTTGATAAGTTTGATAATTTATAATAAGGAAGAAATTGAGGAGGATATTGCCCATAGAATTAAAGTGGGATACGCAAAATGGATAAGTGAATTTGGAGATTTATGTGATAGGCAAGTACTACTTAATTAAAAGGTATATTTTATGAAACAATTGCAATGCCAGTTATGTTATATGGAGTAGAATATTGGGCAGTCAAGAGACATCATGTCCAACAAACCAATGTGCTAAAAATGCATGTATTGAGATGAATGAGTGGAAAAACTAGACAAGATAGGATCACAAATGAAATTATTTATATAAACTTAATAATAATTCTGATAAGTGATAAAACGAGAGATAGTACTGGACTGAGATGGTTCGGTCATGTACATATAAGATCATCAACAGTAATTTATTGCAAATTGAATGGGCTAGAAGGAAAATATATAAACAAATGATTTAGGCATTAATAATTTAACAATAGACATTAACATTTGTATTTGTTTGCATTTCTTCCAATTTCATGACGCCAAAAAGGTCTAAGAGGAAGACTAACATTTTCACAAATCTACCCTAATTACAGATACCAGGCATTTGGATGGGTGATTAAATCACAAAATTGACACCATAATAAACCCATATTACTCTTGATTATGAAAAGGATTTATTTATATTTTTAAATAGGCAATTAGGAAAAGCATTTATAATTAAGGATAAAAATATTGTAATCTGAAATTACAACCTATAAATCGTATCTGAATTTAAAAACGATCCACGGTCAGGATTCATCCACCTAAATTATAGTTTGTTACGAATTTAGTAAGAGAATTAAATAATACATAAATCCATGTCACAAAAGAAAAGAAAAGAAAAGAGCCATCTAATAATGGACCCTACTAACTTTCCAAATAAGGAAGTAAACCCATCAATCAACCAGAAAAGTGGAGCACCAGGCCGGCCCCGTCAGAAGAAAATGCACATCCCGTGGCGTGGAGAAAACACAAGTCCAAGTGGAGTCGGGTCGTTTTTGTGAGGAAGTGTCAAGCGTCAACCAGAGAACGCATAACACAAGCCAATCACTGGGACTCTCTCTATTCTAATAAAACAACCGGGGAAATTTGCGCGTCTTCGTCTCATCCGAAAGCCAGAAGGCATATTAATGCTGTGTTGGAGTGTCGTCCAGCATTTTGCTTCAATTCATACACTCTTCGAGAGCTGCTGAAGCCCGCGAAGCGGGAGTTTGCTGCTATTATGCTATAGAGAGAGAGAGGACTTCTTGGAGGAAGAGTACTGAGTCTTTTTAATCTCAGATCTGAAGATGAAGCACAGGAGCGAGGCTTTTTGCAGTCGGAAGATATATTCCTCTGTTCTTGTTGGATTAATCATTTCCTTGGGATTGTTTTGTGTTTTTTACGGATTTTCATTTGTTCCTATTCTGCCGAGTGGGGCTGATGAAGGCGGTAGCGAAGGTATAGATCCTGTTTTTGGAAAGTCAGTTCAGAGAGATGACGATTTCGACGATGCACTCGAAGATCAGGATGTGCCCAAAACCATACCTGTAAGTGCACTTCTATCTGAATTTGTCGCTAGTATTTTTTATTTTATTATTATTATTTTTTATTTTCCTGCAGTAGAAATCGGTGTTTATAAAACTCTTTTTTTTTTTTTAATTTTTTTTAGGTTTGTGACATGCAATTCTCAGAATTGATTCCTTGCTTGGATAGAAATCTTATATACCAAATGAAGTTGAAATTGAACTTGACATTAATGGAACACTACGAACGGCACTGTCCTCGTCCGGAACGCCGTTACAATTGCCTAATTCCTCCTCCTATTGGTTATAAGGTTCGTAATTCTCTCCGCTTATCTTCACTGTGGGTTCGAAGAAAGTCATTTAATTTGATTTCGGCTGGTTTCGATTCCAACGATGGTACCATTAGAGTTTCAGATCCCGATTAGATGGCCAGCGAGCAGAGATGAAGTGTGGAAGGCTAACATACCCCATACGCATCTTGCCCAAGAGAAATCAGATCAGCACTGGATGGTTGTGAACGGAGACAAGATAAATTTTCCAGGTGGAGGGACCCATTTCCATGACGGAGCCGATAAATACATCGCTGCAATTGCAAGGGTACTACAACTTCCATTTCCTCATCTTAATATTTATGTTGTTTTCTTTTTGTTCTCATTGTGGTCACTCATTGTCTTGTTGAGGTAGATGCTTAAGTTCCCCGGCGATAAACTTAACAATGGTGGGAACATACGGACGGTTCTAGATGTTGGTTGTGGGGTCGCTAGTTTCGGGGCGTATCTTATTCCACATAACATTATAGCAATGTCTCTTGCGCCTAATGATGTTCACGAGAATCAGATACAGTTTGCGCTGGAGAGGGGAATCCCCTCAACCCTTGGCGTGTTGGGGACAAAAAGGCTTCCTTATCCAAGCCGCTCATTTGAATTGGCTCATTGTTCTCGATGTAGGATTGACTGGCTTCAAAGAGAGGGAATTTTGTTATTAGAACTGGATAGATTACTAAGACCTGGAGGCTATTTTGTATACTCATCTCCTGAGGCCTATGCACATGATGCGGCTAACCAAAGAATCTGGAATGCTATGAGTGGTCTTTTAAGAAGGATGTGCTGGAGAGTTGTTTCAAAGAGAGACCAGACTGTTATATGGGCCAAGTCTTTGAGTAACAGCTGTTACTTGAAGAGAGATCCTGGAACTCAGCCTCCTTTATGCAATTCTGATGATGATCCAGATGCATCTTGGAATGTACCCTTGAAATCGTGCATCACACCCTACTCTAAAAGTAAGTGTTGGTAGTCTTTGAAAATCAGCCATTACGAACAGGATGAGCAGTTTGATGGTATGTTTATATATATAAATGCAATGTGAAACCTTTTTTGGACCAAAATTACCCTCTACTTCTTTGTTTTAGAAAGGGTATAAAACCCATTTTATTACAGTTTTAATGCCATCTTTAATGGCTACTAAAATGCCCATAATTGTGTATTTAGTGCATCTCTAATGGTAAGGTTGAAAATGTAACTTCAATTATTACTTCCTACCTCATTTAATCCTCTCTCATTAAGTCTTATTCTTAAATTATTAACTCCCATTTTCTCTTATTAAATCCTATATTTTTAAGTTGTTTTTCACTAATAATGGTACTAATTAGATCTATGCCAATATTTTTAACAATATAAACCCATATATTTTAAAATTGACTAAAAAAAATCATTTTTCATCTAAGTGGTGGCTAAGCAATTCAACCATCCGAATCAAACTACGAAGTTATAGTTAAGTAATAAAATTTTTAAAATAGAAATACATATAGAAAATTACAAAAAAATATAGAAAACTTAGACACGTTTGTGATATTTTTATTAATCAAATTAAAAAAAATAAGTATAATAAACAAGAATTATTTTTATTGACAACGAAAAATGAAATACATAATTTAGAACTAATAAAAATTGATAATAAATAGTTCAACTTTTAATGTCATAAATGTTAAATTGTAAATTAAACTACTAATTTTCACCTCATTCAATACCCTCTATTTAAATCTTAAATTTATTTTATTAATGAACAGAAGAAAAAAGATAAAACATTACAAAAAGAAGAGTCTAGCCAAGCAAGTAGGCTTGTCAATGATACTTGAAACTTCACAACTCGATCCGATTACCATATATTTGGATGAGGTGTTTATGTAATCAGATTTGGATTTTGCAATCTACATCTGATTAATAATAAAAAAAATATATAAAAATGAAACGTAAAATATAAAAATTTATAGAAAATTTTGGATATATTATTACTATCATTATCATCGTTTAGAATTACCACACGCAGAGCACGTGCATGCTTACTAGTATATATATATATATAAATTGACTTTTATTTATTCTCAGTAACAGTGAAGATATTGTATGCTTTGACTTCACCCTTTATCTTTTGGGGGTCTGTTATTATTTTTCTTTTCCATAAAAGGAAGATATTGTATACTCAGACACTCAAACTAAACAGTTAGAAAAATAGTTTGTGGATAAAAATGAAACATAAAAATATAAAAATTTATAGAAAATTTTGGATATATTATTACTATCAATATCATCGTTTAGAATTACCACATGCAGAGCACGTGCATGCTTACTAGTATATATATATATATATTGACTTTTATTTATTCTCAGTAACAGTAAAGCTATTGTATGCTTTGACTTCACCCTTTATCTTTTGGGGGTCTGTTATTATTTTTCGTTTCCATAAAAGGAAGATATTGTATACTCAGACACTCAAACTGAACAGTTAGAAAACTAGTTTATGGTGTTACTTCCTTATTTGGTTAATAAGGTTGGTAATGTTGTATCTTCTTGATCATAAAGAATGCATGAAATCCTGTCTTCTAAAATAAAATCTTGAATAAGAAAAAAAAAAATCTTGAATAAGTGGGTGGATGAATTTGAAATGTATGGTAGTAGATTAGGGACTTCTTGCTAAAAGGAGAAAAGGGTCTGATATGTAAACTTGACTTAGAAAAGGCTTATGATTTGGTGGATTGGGATTTCTTGCTAGAAGTGTTGAGTAATAGAGGTTTTGGGGAGAGTTGGTGTAAGTGGATGAAGGGTTGTATTACCTCTTGTCGACGGAGTAGCTAGGGACTTCTTTCTGCAAAGAGGGGCCTTAGACAAGGAGACCTTTTGTCACCTTTCCTCTTCACCTTAGTAGTGGATGTCCTAAGTGTCTTGATTTCTAGGGCTGATTCAAGAAATGTACTGAAAGGATGGAGAGTTGGGAGGCACAAGTGATTGTCACTTACCTACAATTTGCGGATGGTATCATTCTCTTTTGTGAAGGGGAAATTGAGGAGATGGATAATTTGAGATTGGTGGTGATGCATTTTGAGAGAGTCTCTAAACTGAAAATCAATTGGAACAAGAGTTGTGTAGTGGGGGTGAATTTACGGGATGATGAAGTGCAGTTGGTGGCTAGGGCTTTAGGTTGTGAGGTAAGTGGTTGGCCTCTGGTATATTTGGGTCTACCCCTGGGGGGAAATCCTAGAACAGAAAATTTTTGGTGCCCAGTTTTAGAAAGATTCACTAAGAAGCTAGCAGGGTGGAAGAGAAATTATATCTCACTAGGGGGTAGAATCACTTTAATCAAGTCCACTTTGGCCAACCTTCCAGTGTATTTTCTGTTTACCTTTAAGCTTCCTGCCAAGGTTGCCAATAAGTTAGAAAAGCTCATGAGAGATTTTCTGTGGGAACCGAGTGACTCAAAAAAGGACCATTTAGTGAAGTGGGAAGTAGTTTCTTGGAAAAAGGAAGTGGGAGGTCTAGGCATTGGCAATATCAAATTAAGAAATGTAGCTTTGTTAGGAAAGTGGTTGTGGAGATTTCTTTTGGAGCATGATAGTTTGTGGCACTTGGTGGTGGAAAGTATTCATGGGATGGCAGCTAATGGATGGGATGCTGGCGTTGACCCTAGGACTTCTCATTTCTCCCCTTGGAAAGCAATTGCTGGAGTCTCGTCTTCCTTTCAGCCTTTCATTAGATTTGATGTGTGTTCAGGTAATAAAATTTTGTTTTGGGAGGATCTTTGGCTTGGGAACACCCCACTTAAGGATAGATTCCCGGTAATGTTTTCTCTTTCCCTAAATAAATTCAAAACCATCTCCTCACTTCGTGTGTTTGAGGGGACTTGGGATTTGGGTTTGAGAAGAGGGTTGAGGGATTCAGAATCGGCTTCTGCAGATGAGTTATTCACCGTGTTGAATTTGGAAAGAGTCATCTTCAGGGACTTTCTCTTGTTCATCTTTCTTCAATGCCTTAGTCCAGTCTTCTTTTGTGTCTGTTTCTTTTCCTGCTAAAGAAATATGGTATTCTCCTGTGTTGCCAAAAGTTAGGGCTTTTTGCTGGGAAGTGGCTCTTCAAAAGATCAATACTATGGATGTACTTAAAAGAAAAAGGCCAAACTGCAGCCTTTCCTTACATGTCTGTTACCTTTGCTTAAGAAATGGTGAGACGATGACTCATCTTTTGATTTCTTGTCCTTTTGCTTATTATTTGTGGAATTGGTTCTCTTCTTTGTTTGGTTACATATGGAACCCCCGGGTGTGCTAAACCTTTTTGACTCTAGCTTCTTCCAACAACCAAGGAAAAGGGGCAGGGTAATGTGGAGAATAACAAGAGTTGCCATCCTATGGTCAATTTGGGAAGAGAGAAACAATAGGATCTTCCTAGGGCAAGAAAAATCCAAGGAAGCACTTGTGGAGGTTGTCACCATCAAGGTTATGCACTGGCTGAAAGTACATAATCTCTTCAAGGATTTCTCCTCAGCGGACTTAATTAGAAATTGGAGTGTTATAGCTATATTCTCGCCTTCCTCCCCTGTGGTACAAGATTGTTGGGTACCACCGCCTCAGTTCAAGGTGAAGCTAAACTTTGACGGAAGCTCCTTGGGTAGTCCAGGTCAGTCAGGAGTTGGGGGTGTGTACAGAAACGAGGAAGGAAAAGTCTTGGCTCTTTACTCAGGCCCAATTGGGGTGGGAGATTCATTAAGGGCAGAAGTAATGGCCTTACTTCAAGGTTTGAAATTGGCGAAACAGTGGGGCATGCAGCAATTAGAAGTGGATGGAGACTCCAAGCTGGTAATAGGGTGGATGCAAACTGGAAACCTGGGAGTGTGGTCTCTTAGACAGCCGCTAAGAGAGATTATTAGCTTAACAAGGGAGATTGGGGTGCACTTTAATTGGGTAAGAAGGTTAGCAAATGGAATGGCTGACACTTTAGCTAAGCAAGGAGTTACTAGGGAGGCTTTGTTTTGGGCCTGTTTGTAAGTTTTTGATTTTCTTTTTCCATCCTTTTTGTGGGTGGTAAGCCTGTAATCTTTTAAATTATCTAATGAAAGTTACCATTTCCTATAAAAAAATAATAATAATGTATGGTAGTAGACTAGTAGTTATAGCCTTAAAGATCAAATTAAACTACTAAACTATGTTTCTATTATATTGCATTGGGTGAGTACAGATGGTCAGCATCTCCTGTTTGATTTTTGTCTTCATATGAGTCCTTTCATAGCTTTATCAATTATAAAAAGACTAGGTGCACAGTAATACATCTCATCTTTCAGAAACAGAACAGTGATTTTTCAGTGGTGGATTTTATTCTCTTCAAGGGTAATGACGGTATGGCCCATGAAGATTTTTGAGATATGAATTTAAAACTTATTCTAGGAATGCTAATTTAACTCCTAATGTTTATCCACCATAAAAGAAAACTGATACAATTACTTAAGTGTGACATAATCATTTCCACCAACTCAACTACTGTGTCTATAGATGTAATGGTTGTCCTTGTTTTGTTTAAACAGGTGCTGGATTTATGGAAACTTATGCCTATTTTGTTTATAAATATTTATTTTTGTTGTAAAGATGTTAAGTTTTTGTTTTCTATTCTTGAAATTGTGCATTTGGAGAAACAGATAAGCATAAAGAGAAAGGTAGTGGGTTGGTTCCCTGGCCTCAGAGGCTTACTGCTGCACCCCCTCGTCTACAAGAACTTGGTATCAGGTCTGAGGAATATAAGGAAGACACTGTAAGTTTCTAAAATTTGGTGTGCTTTTTCTGTAGCATACATAATACCCTGTCTTTCAATTTGTTACTCATCCCTCTGAAGTTTATGTCTCATAGGTTTATGTCATGTAGGACATTTGGCATTTTAGAGTGATGGAGTACTGGAGGCAGATGAAATCTGTAATACAGAAGGATTCTTTCAGGAATATCATGGATATGGATGCAAACCTTGGTGGTTTTGGTGCTGCCCTTAACGATAAAGATGTATGGGTGATGAATGTTGCACCTGTGAATGAATCTAGCAAATTAAAAATCATTTACGATCGAGGCTTAATTGGAACTGTTCATGACTGGTATGATATTTGAATGATGCACATTTCGTTTACTTGTTTACTGAATCTATTTTTTTATCCAGATCCTAATGGTTCAAACTGATCTTTTTGGTTCTAGTTGATTGTTATGTTGCCCTAACTGGATCCAATAAGATGCTTAGCCCAGTGCTGCTTCATTAGGTCTTTGATGTATTATTTGATCTATGCTCAAATAAGATGTTGAGAGCTCTTAAAACCTTTAATAAAGCTTAATAACTCTTTCTATCAGTTATAAAGCTTCAGAAGTTAATATCACATTTTCTATAATTCTTGTTGGTATAATGGTTAACTAAATCATGTGGATTCATGCGTTTATTTTATCTTGGTGTCAGTGTGACATGGAAGAAGTTTTTTATCCCAGTTTAAGGTTTAAGGCATTTGAACATTGTATTTCCTTTTTTTTCCTCACATAAAGACAGGCAATATTAGCTCTTTTGTGCGGCCATTCCACCCAGAGCTCAGAGTGCATCACTCCATTTCAGACTCATTGAGCTATTTGTTTTGCCTCTTCAGAAGTAGAAGGCCCTAGTTTTTATTGGAGATATTTAGAGTTAATGTGTTGCTTCCTTTGTTCATCATCCAGTTTCAACACTTACTTAAAAATTTATCGAGCTGTTTGTTTCACACCTCAAGAAGTAGAAGGCTCATATTTGTTTAGAGTCTTTGAAAAGGTCCTATCTTCTCTATCTCTCTTTTGTTATCTCTGAGATTGAGGTGAAAAGGGCATATATGTGCACACATATTAGGTGGGGAGGGGGTCACGGTTAAGAGGGTATTGGAATTCTACTAGGCATGATGGTGTTGGTGTCCATTTTTCGATTCAGTGCATGTGTACTGGAGGACTAATATGATTCCTGGGCACACGATACTCAAAGGATCAGGCTAACACTTCATCAATTTAGACTCAAGCTGGACTTTCTGTAGTTGAGCCAAGTGTCCTAGAAGATATCAAGGGTGTAGGTCTACAACATCAGAGGGCCTTTAAGTTGACCAAAGCACATCTGCACATAGTGATAGTGCCCATCTTATGATTGATAAAAAAAGAATAGTTCCCACCTTATGATATGATAAGTGGTCTAGAGGTTAAAAAAGTGGTCCACACAAATGTACCTGCCTGTAACAACGTTAAGTGAGCTGCCTAGTAGCTGTGCGCGCACACCGCACGCACGCACGCGCGCACACACACACACACAAGAGGGGAGCTTCCTTTGTCTTGGGTAACATGGAAAGTTATTATTGGCTTTACTTGAAAAATGCCTTTCCAAGTAAAAATGTCTTTTTGGAAAATTCTTTGAAAATCAGGGTAAGAGTGACTTTTGGCCATTTCCTATGTAATCAATTTATCGTTCTTTTGAGAAGAAGTTAACTGATTTCATTGAAAGAAAGAGAGGGTACACAAGAAGGTGTACAAGTACAAAACAGGGGTCAGACCCCTAAAGGTTACACAGGTGGAACTTTGTCACAATACAAGGTCTCTAAAATAGCACCTAGTTTTGCTAATCCATCTGCAATGGCATTTAAATCCCTTGGAATCCGGAACAGAGATGTGTTTGTAGAAGTCAATAAATCCCTTGCCTCTGCTAGGAAATGGCTAAGTCTCCATGGTCCAGTCTCCTGCTTTCTAACCATTTTATGGTATTTGCTGAGTCACCTTCAATAGAGAGGTTCTGAATGCCCAGTCTGTTGACTAAGCGGATCCCTGTAAGAGCAGCTAACACTTCTGCCTTTATAGAGTCAGCTATACCAATCGATCCATTGTACACCCAACAGATGAACCCGGTTTTGTCTCTTAAAGTTCCCCCTATGCCAGGGACTCCAGGGTTTCCTGAGGCACTTCCGTCAAAACTTAAAGTCCAAGCTCCTTCCCTTCTTAGTGATGGGACCCTGGGGGTGTGTAGGATGGAAGGAGAGGAGAACAGACAGTTAACAGCATTCCTGTTAAGATCGTTGACATTGGTTCCTCTAAACACGTTATCATCCTATATAAATAGGGGTTAATTCAATCATAAAGGACATAATTAATTACCAATTCCTCTTAAGAAGGTACATAGAACTACAAGACACTGTCCCTGAAAGAGCAAATAGATCTCTGTATCTCCGACAGACTGTTATTTATCATTGGCTTGTTTGTTGTCAACATTGATTCAGTCTCAACAACAGTGCTTGGCAAGTCTTTGGCTGGTTCACCTTGGATAATCTTATTCCCCAGGTGAGCCTGCTTCTCTGGATTACGATGTGGAGTGCCCACCCTATTGTATATTACAAAAAGTAGTTTCTGCTTCTAGACGTACCAGATCTACATGGCAGGGTGTGGCCAGAAGAAACCCACATCTACAGAGGACAATCAAAAAGGAAAATGTCAGTGTTGGTTGTCTGTGGAGTTTTTAGGAATGTCACATTATGTGTTCAACTTACGGTTTACATGCAACATTAATGACATTTTATGCGGTTTTTTGGCATATGGGCAGCTTGTTTAAATGAAGTGAATTTTGCTTAGTTGTCAACCCTTAAGCACTTAGTTGTTATTAACTTCTGCACCTCACCAAATCAGATTTGTTCCTTGATATCTATTACATTATTAAAACATGAAAGATGCCCTTTTATGTAAAACTTCATCAATTCTGAATGACTTTTTCATTATCAAAAATTTGTTCCTTCACAGAAGAATTTTGTAATTTTAATCCATGGGATTTCATAGTTTACAATTTGAAGCTCATAATCTTGACTCAATGTTCTTATAATTTAACTCAATTTTCACTGTTGGCAGTGGATATTTTCTGGGTTTCCAACTTTTCTCTAACATGCTTCACCATATAATGGGAAAATTCTACAACCTCTAATTAGCAATGGGATATAAATGACTCTAGGCCATCCTATATGAATTGTGCAAGAAATTCAACTTTGGGCCTCCAAAAACCTGATGCAGACTCTGATGATTAATTATTTATATTATAGGATCTTGAATAATAGATACTACCAAGATTGAGGATGAAAGACTAAGGCCCTGTATGGTTAGAGTGCGGCTAAGCCTTTGTAAGCCATAAAGGCGCAAGAAGGATCTTATATGGTTTGGTAAGACGTTCTTTGAAAGCCACAGCCCGTAGAAGTTGAATCTCAAAAAAAGACAAAAACAGAAACTTCAATTGAAGCTTTTGATGCATTTTCTTGTTTTAAGCTTCCATTGAATCCATTCTGAAACCTGGAAATCCAACTCATAGAAGCTGATCATTTTCCATTGTTGTGACACCAAAGATCAGAGTTTGAAAGAAGAGTTACCAAACAGGTTTTCCAAGTTTGATCTTCATTTGGTTGTGAGAGAAATATATAAGAATCCCCATCAAATTTTTGCAGGTCCATGGGTACAATGTATATACTAAAAATCTTGCTATAGATATTTGATAGATGGTCTTGTGCATCAGAAAAAGTAGGGTGTTTTTCCCCAGCACTAGAAATCCTATTCACTCCATTTGCCCATAGATATTACCTAGAGCTCAGTGGTAGTTCTTTTGTGAATATAGCCTTTGTGTCTGTATGGACTATAACTCTCTTTTTCTTCCAATTACAGGTGTGAATCATTTTCTACCTACCCCCGTACCTATGACCTACTTCATGCATGGACAGTATTTTCAGAGGTTGAGGAACGTGGCTGTGGTGCAGAGGATCTGCTCATTGAAATGGACCGAATGCTACGCCCAGAAGGATTTGTTATCATAAGAGACAAGCCCACTGTCATAAACTACATTCGAAAGTTTTTACCTGCCTTACATTGGGATGACTGGATATCAGAAGTAGAACCAAGGGTTGATGCTCTATCTATACATGAAGAAAGAGTTCTGATTGTAAGAAAGAAGTTTTGGGAAGTGGGTGCTGCTACAATGTAAATGCGCATGTTTAACCTTTGAGGTAGGTTTATGCCTATCATATAGAATTCTTTTCTCCATCTGTGAATGGTGTCCAAAAAGATAGTTGTTCATAAGCTCGGTCTTGGTTGTTGCATAGTCCCAAATCCGCTTCTGCTGCTGTCTATAACATTCTTTTTTTTTATGTCCTTTGTATTTTTGGAATCAGGGTATACATATATCTTACATGGCTTGCGGCACCTATTCCCATGGGGCAAGTCTGAGTTCCACTCAGGACAATTGAATGACTTAGGTGAAGCCTGCTAAATATTTGCCTCCTGAATCCTTAGCAGTTCCACTCAGGACAATTGGTGCTTGTCATGTTAGATCTGGCATCTGGGTATTCTTGTATCTATTACCTTCATAGTTTTCCACTTCTTTGGTATTGTCCTTGCTTCTCCCGGTCTCCTGTTAAATGTTATCAATTAAATCTCTTTATGACAGTTTGTTCAAGTCACACCTGTTAACTTGTCCAATTAAATCTCTCTTTATGACAGATTGCACTTGCAATGTGTCATGTGGCTAGTATCTATACTACCATTAGAAGTGTGAATGAGAGTGGAACTTTTATTTGACTAAAATACCCCAATTTTTAAATTTGGTCCCTCTTTAATTGTAAGGACAGAAATGTGACTTGAACAACCACTTTTCTCCTTGTTCAAATCTCTCTCATTAAGTCTTATATTTAACGCATTAACTCCCGTTAACATTCATTGAGTCCTGCTAATTCTCATTAACATTCAATGTATCATATTTTTGACTAGCATACCCCTATTTTTGAATTTGGTACCTCTTAATTGTGAGGGCACAAAATGTAATTTAAATTACCACATTTCTTCTTATTTAATTCATTTTCATTAAGGGCCAGTTCGTTTCTTCTTAACTCTTATCTCTTAAGAGGAATCTTTTAAGAGTTTGAAACTGTGTGTGTGTGAGAGAGAGAGAGAGAGAGAGGACCGTTGCGAGTTGCGGCCGGCGATGATAGACAAAGGAAGATTGAAGAATTAGGGTTTAGTTTTCAGTTCTTTCTTCTTTGAGTCTTTCTCTATCCTCTGCCGAGTGGTAGTCGGTGACGATAGACGTTTGATGTCTGACGGGAGACGACAACGATAGACGAAGGAAGAAGAACTAGGGTTCTTTGAGACTCTTTCTCGTCCTCTCACCTCTGTCTGTTGAGTGGTAGTCAAGACTCAAGAGATAGTCTCAACTCTCGAGAGTTTTTTAGAATGAATAGTTTTTCTTTTACAAATAAATGAATAATATATAATATAATAATATAAGTATTATATAAATAATATATATATATATGGATGGGGTTATCCCTAAATCCTCAATCGGGTTTGGAGACAAGGACGGGGAATGCAATCCCCACCNCATCCCTGACCCCAGCCCCGCCAACCCCATACTCGACCTCGTCAGGTTGGGGAGCCCAAGTACTCGTTGTGGATGGGGAAAATTGCCACCCCTAAACATAGCCTTGTAGATTTGCCATGTTTGGTTCAATTATCATTCTTTCTCATTCTTATCCAAGGTGAAATTCTAAAATAGACAAGAGTAGGTAAAAATAGTTAGAATGAGAAAATATTGCTATGAATCAAACGCTTTTTACCTATAAATAAATTCTTTTCAAACTGACAAATGTCTTATGGAAAAGTATTTTTGTAAAAGTGCTTTTATGAAAGTATTTTTGTAAAATGCTTTCATAAAAATACTTTGACAAAAGTATTTTCATAAAAGTGCTTTTATAAAAGTACTTTTGTAAAAGTACTTTTACAAAAATGCTTTCATAAAAGTATTTTTATAGAAGTGCTTTCGTGTAAAAGTATTTTCATAAAAGTGGATTCGTAAAAGTACTTTTAGGCTGGATATGTTCATCAATTCCCACCTATGTTTATGTTTATGGTTAAAAAAATAGGGAGGAATTATCATTTTACCCCACTCTATAGTAAATTAGTAATGTGGCATTCCCAAAAATGTTCTCAACAACAGAGGTTGTTGGCCCCCAAGAACCAAAGTTTTTCCTAGTTTTATAGGCAAGGTTTACTCAAAGAATGAAAATGAGCAAGATAGGGCATGGTTGTTTTTCATATTGCAAGCTACCTCAATTTTTGTACCATGTGCTGATTTTCTTGTGGCCCATGGCAAGAATTTTGTAACCAAGCACTGTAGTGTTATTCATTCTTGCCCAGAATGAGAAAGAATTAAAAGAATGAGGCCTAGAGCAGTGAACCAAACATTAGGGATGCAAAACGGATCGGATCGGATCGGATCTGACACTATTCATAGTGGATATGATCCGATCAGATCTGATAGGCCTCGATCTGAATTCAAATCCTATCATCTTCAGATCTAATCCGATTTGACTTGTTTTCTTTAAAAATTAATAAATTATTAAAATAAAATAAAATATACCAATTTAAATAAAAAATAAAAATACAAGTATTTTTTAATTATTTTCATCATATATGTACATGTTTTTTATAAAAAATAAATAATATAACAAATTTATAAAAATACAATATAAATATATATTTATAAATAAATAACATATATATGTATTATATATATTTATATAAATAAATATATAATGTATATCGGATTGGATGGTGGGGGGGATCCGAATCCGATCCAATCCAAAAGATCCGAATAGGAATAATCTGAACTCGACCAAATAAGATCGAATCTTGGATTGGATCATGATCCGATCCATTTGCACCCCTACCAAACATGGCCTAAGCAGCTACCTACCGATATCAAATCAGCCCCCCCACAACATCCCATAGCACATTACCGCTGTGTAATGGAAATATCTCCCAATGATGACATCATCATTTCTGATACTATCATCAAGAGATATTCTCAATACATGAAGGGATGTGCGGGACGTTGTGGGGGGCTGGGGTTGATTGAACTCTAACTACCTTGCTTTGGGAGTACCCTTATTCGGCCACCGGCCCATTACCTCCCGGAGACCATTTGCTGAGCGTCGTCATGCTAGAATATAAGGTTATCTTGGAATTGTCTTGAATGAAAATTTTGAGATTCTCAAGTTTACTAGGCCCGGGATTTTTTTTCCTGAAATAGGCCCGCAATTTTTTTTTTTTTTTGTGCACTAAAAATGTTGAATACCTAATTAACGCTTAAACTTACTTAAGTGGTTGGACCTAACTGACGATTGATGTTTGTCCAAGGCTAAAAGTATATTGGGTGAATTAATTTTGGTCAAATATCAGTGTAGTATTAAAATAATAAAAACCAACAATTTAGATATGAAACATTAAAAATGCTAAGAATATTAATAACATAATTAATAATTAGAGAAAAAAATCAAAAATCAAAATACACACCCACACACCAAATGGATGCATGGCATTCGTCTATTTAGGAGGCACTGGGATCATATCCGTGGGACTACAAGTTTTTTATGGTATGGCCAGTGAGCTTCACATGCACCAACCTCACAGAATTTGGAGTTACATATCTGAAACATCTCCCTACTTGTAAGTAGGGGTGATCATCCCGGCCCGGCTCAGAAATTCCGGGCTTGGGCCTGGGTTTTGCATTCAGGCCCGACCCGGGCTCGGGCCCACATCGGGCTTGCAAATTTTAGGGCCGGGTTTGGGCTTAATACTTTAAGTCCGGCCTAGGCCTGGTCCAGCTTGCATATATTTAAATTTATACATTTTGTGTATAGTTTATACATATGTATACATGCTATTTTACATTATATTATATATTTTATATATTAATATTATAACATGACATGTATAATTTATATTATATGTAATATTTTATATTATATAATATATAAAATAAAAGTTTATATGCATGTTATATCATTTAATATAAAATATTATAGATATGTAATATTTTATATATGAAAGACATTGGCCCAAAATCAAGCCCGGGTCGGGCCCGAGTAGACCTGAGGTAGGGCTTATGTTACAGGCCCGGAACCTCGGGCCAGGCCGGGCCCGGGCCTAAGCTATACCCATGATCACCCCTACTTGTAAGTTATTATTCACGGGGTGATATTCTTAATACATGATTGCAAAGTGTTGTAAAATTGGTGTAAGGAGCAAATTTGAATTCTCCTACATCCCTCTACCAAAAAAGGGTTCGACTATGATATGGAAAAGATATGATATATGAAAAACAACTGACCAATAAACTAGAATCATAAACATGATAGCAAATAAGGTATTATTTATCAAAATTCATGGGTGGGCTTTGACTGGTCAAAACTCTTCCATACCATATCTTTTATGCATCATAGATTTTTCTATTAAAAAATCTTTTAACTAACATAAATATCCCTATTTTTATACATATAAAAACTAAACTATGTTATTGAAAACTTGCAGGCCAACTATGTTCTTGAAAATTTGAAGGGTAAATTAAACAATTGGAGAACCTCAACAATTAGTCAAGCAGGAAAAAAAGTCTTAATCCAATCTGTACTTCAAACTATCCCTATCCATTCCACGAGTCTTATTAAATTTCACCAGAAAACCATAAATCAAATGGATAAAATTATTAAAGATTTCTTGTGGGGTGTTTCATCTTCTCGAAAACACCCTTACTGTTGGTGTTCTTGGAACACCCTCTTGTTACCAAAATTTTACGGAGGATTAGGTTTCAAGAATTTAAATTTAGTCAATCATGCCCTACTTAAAAAGGTAGTCTGGAAATATTTAAATGAACAATATAAGTTATGGACCCAAATCTGGAAATCAAAGTATCTCAAAAATCACAACATTATTCCCTATTCAACAGCCTCTTCCAGGTCCATCTATTGGAAAACTATTTGTCCAAAAATTATTGAATTATCTTCTAAAATTGTTTATCTTGTTAATGTGAATTCTGCCTTTATTGCTCATCAAGTTCCCTGGATCCAACTGAATCATCACTTTCAATGAATATCCTTTCCTTTAGCTCCTTAGCTTAGGAATATGAATATTTCTTCTCTCATTTCTTTAGGACAATGGAATACTAACCTAATCCACTCTCTATTTTCAAATGAGGAAGCTACGAATATCTTGAAAACTTCGATTTTTTCCTCCAATAATGAAATAAATTGGATATGGACAAGTCACCATTCCAGAAAATACATAGTTAAGGAGGAATACAAAAAGAAACAAGGAATTCACCTTCCAAGCATTCCTTCTGATATCAAGTTCTGTTTATCTAAGATTTGGCAACTTCTATTCCTCCTCGTTACCAACTATTTTTCTGGAGAATAATAAATGGCTTTATTCTAGTAAAGACTTCTATTTTGTGTGGACTCTTCAGACAAACTTTGTGTTCTATGCAATGAGGAAAAAGAATCTCTCAATCATCTTTTTGTCCATTGTCAATTCTTTCAAGTCATTTTGTTTGGAAATCCTTGGAACTTACGATTGCATAACATTTTTCAAGAATCTTGGATCTCATGCCTTAACAATTTATATAACCAACTCTTTAATAATCAACTGTTTCTCAAAATCTTAGGCTGGATAGCTATTGCTTGCTACTACATATGGTATGCTACGAATGAAAAATGCTTCAGGAACAAGCAACTTTTACCACATAAAATTACTAATAGTGTCAACCAAACTTTTCAGCATTCCATGGAGTTCTTGCACGAATCTACTTCAACTAATGTTTTCCTTGAAAATCATAAAATACAGTTATCCATTTCCAATGCTACTGAGCTAATTATTTTCACTGATGCATGGAAAATCTCTGACTCCCTATTTAGTTTTGATATTACCATACTATCTAGAAATTTAACTTGTCTAAAGTTTATTGGAGGCAAAACTTCACAACCTATTTCTATTGACCAAGCTGAATTGATTGCAATTATGCAGGTTTTAATAGAACTACAAAGTTGGCATCAGAAGGATATTTGCATATGTTCAGATGCACAACAGATGGTACAAGCCTTAAAAAAGACTACTGATGTTCCCTGGTTCTACCATTGGCTTTTATAGAGAACCAAGAATTTAATTTCCAATATGAACTCTAATATTAAATTTCAGTTTGTAAATAGAACTTTTAATATCTTGACTCACAAGGTATCCCAAAAGGCAAAAACTCACCTACAATCTTATTTTGTATTACATGATTACTCTACTGGGATTCCCAAAGTTGAGAACTTTATAGATATTATCTTAGTTTAATATATTTATTTGTCTTTCAAAAAAAAGTGTGCTACATAACCAATCATGAATCAATACTAATGAGGGCAGATTTGGCCCTCCACTGACATCATGACACATGGCATATCAGAATAGCTGGACTACATCCTAGCATCACCTAGGCGACAACTTGCCTTAGCCAAAATGGGGTCCTAGAGGGCAGTCTCTAGAAGCTTGCTAGTTGTCTCCGAACCTTTCGGGATCACGCCGCGTAACCGTAGCCCTTATCCTTATCCCGCTCGAATTGGAGGGAAACGGTAAGCCTTATTAACTAGCACACTATCCTCCTTCCAAAGCGGAACGAGACGCTACGTCGTGAGCCGAGGATTCCGGGAGCGTTTTGCGAGACCCACGACAGTCCAACTATATAAGGTCGTCAGCCCTTGAGACCTAGGTAGATGCGCAATTTAGTTCTCGCAGCTCTCTAGCTCTCTCACATTTAGCTACCTTAAAATCTCTGTTTCACTGACTTAAGCATCAGAGCGACCTCACCGAGTTAGCCACCCTGGGTTCTTTGATTCCTCATTTTCTTTGTAGTTCGAGTGACCTACTTGGCGACAGACGTCCAAGCTGCCCTACAGCTAGGAGCATCCAGATCGCGCACCATCAATTGGCGCCGTCTGTGGAAAACGATCAAAAGGTCATTGCACTTCTTACTTTCTATTTACCTAATCTCGACATTGATGGTAACACACATAATCAGCCCAGACGAGCTTTGTCAGCCCTGTTCGCGAGGTCGCCCCTACAGGCCGAGCCCTTCGTAGCTCCCATAAGGGTCGACGACCAACAGATTGCAGTCGCCCTTGCGGGTTAAGCCTTTTAAGGTTCCCATGTGAGCTGGCAACCTGCAGTTAGTAAAGTTGCCCCCGCAGGTTGAGCTCTTTGTGGCTTATCGTAAGAGTAGACGGCCAACACCTTAGAGGACTGACATAGTGCAGTCGTGACACCGACCCGCTATTTAAATTCCAACATCGACATACATATCGCAGGGGGAAGCCAAACCGCTTTCAGCATCAAGGACCCCTAAGCCGACCTCGAAATATGTTGGTAACAGGCCAAAGGACCTACGACGAAGCACGGATCTACTTCCTTCGCTAAGCTGATCTCAGCTCGGGAGTGAGGGGCAATTGATGAAGGCAGATTTGGTCCTCCACTAACATCATGGCACATGGCATATCAGAACAATTAGACTACATCCCAGCATCACCTAGGCGACAACTTGCCTTAGCCAAAATGGGGTCCCAACTGGCGACCAACCTCTGCCACCAACTTGGCGACCTGGCGGTCTACCTCTGCCGCTGACCTAGCGACCTACCTCTCTAAAAACTTGCCAGTTGTCTCTGAACCTTTCGGGATCACGCCGTGTAACCGTAGGCCTTATCCTCATCCCGCCCAAATCGGAGGGAAACAGTAAGCCTTATTAACTAGCGCGTTATCCTCCTTCCAAAATGGAACGGACCCCTACGTCGTGGACTGAGGATTTCGGGAGCGTTTTGCGAGACCCACGGTAGCCCAACTAAATAAGAGCGTTAGCCTTTGAGACCCAGGTAGATGCGCAATTTAATTCTCGCAACTCTCCAACTCTCTCACATTTAGCTATCTTAAAATCTCTGATTCACTGACTTAAGCATCGGATGACCTCGCTGGGTTAGCCACCCCAGGTTCTCTAATTCCTCCTTTTTTTTGCAGTTCGAGCAACCTACTTGACGACGGATGTCCAAACTGCCTTACAGTTAGGAGCATCTAAATCGCGCGCCATCAAATACACTAGTGTTTTGTACACATACAACTTACATATGATCTGGACTCAAGCCAAATTAACCTTGCTCCGCTGATCTTAAGTCGAAGAAACCGGAAATAACCCAACTGAAATTGGATTAGGGTTGGAGTAGGGGGTTCCACAACTTTTTTCGACACTGAAATAAGAAGTCTTTATCATTAACACCGATCAGAAGTTATAATGTCTTGTTCACAAATAGTGCGAAAAATAGTAATTTCCATCCATCTATCCACCAAAAAACAAGGAATGCCTCAATTTAAGGGGCTGATTTTGGGACCAAGTTTCTGCATTTCGTGTGAAATCAACACAAGACTAGGACTCCATGCGTTTGTTGCAGAAGAAGAAAAAGAGTTCCATCAACAAATCTACATACACTTGCATGTATAAAAGTGGAAAGCTACATCGTTCGATGCTTCGAACAGGTTAAAGAATAAAAGTCTTTTCGTGACGTTGAACCCAGCTCTTGAGACAGATAAAGACATCTTAACATGAAAATAAATCCAGATCCATTACCCAAAAGAAGACCAAAAACGAGAGAGAAATCTAAAACAGAATGTGCTAACCTTCCTGACAATCAGGGGTGCATTCACAGCTGCTCTTGAGATCACCTCCAACGAAAACCCTAAGCCTCCCCACACCATCACCATACCTATGGCTCGTACACCCACACGTCACCTCGATATAATCTCCTGCTCAAACTAACTCTAAGAAGTAAGAACTCAGAAGAGCTGAAGAACCTTCCTAGATCTCTCAAAGAGAAAACCCACAAAAGCCCATTAGAGATAACGAGTCAAACAATTTTTCCTTGCAAATTTGGGGAGAAGACACGGAAAAAAAAATAAATGAACAAAGACGCCAAAACGAAGTAGGTCTATCCCAAAAGGCCAAAACAAATAATTTATGGTGGCATAGACCACACTTCTATATTTCAACATAAAATCTCTGACAATTCAGGGGACCCATTAAGGTTTAAGGATAATCTCAACAAACGTACATCTCCGAGGCTCACTCCGAGAGATCTCGCAGAGGAAACGTGAAGAAAAGATGAAGAGGGTTTCCCACTGGTCGTAGCGGCGGAGATTTGGGATCGAATCCCGCCTGTATCCCTTACCCCGGTACCCCGTTGTGTGGCCCTTCAGATTTCAGAAGATAACAAAAAGAAAAAAGGAATCCCACCTAAGCAGCCTGATTTCATCCCTACTGAAAACATCACGAACACGTCAAAACCGACAATAGTGATGGCGATTGACGATAATGTGGAGAGGATCGTCGTCAGATTAACGCCGTCTATCTCTCTTACGTCGTCAGATTAGTTTTATACTTACGCCGTGCAAGTAAACCAAAGACTAAACGCCTGACTCTGTCTACTCGGTATGAAACCAGAGGCAATGAAAGTCTTCCCTTTGAGCTCCCTTGTGCTCCTCTTCTTTGGTTTTGTTTTCAACAGGTGCTTCTGTTGTCATCTCTTCTCTATGTATTTATTTCTGTTTTAATGCTGTAATTGGAATTCTTCGGGATAATTCATAGTTTTTTTAGAGCTCTCTCTCTCTTACCGCTGAATTTCAGATAATTATTTTTTGGCATAATTTATAAGCTCAACATATCGGCTGCATGAAACTGGAAGAATAAGAAAGACCCATTTCAGGGAAGTAAAACTGTAAAACAGAACTCCATTGATTTTAATGAACTTTAATTTTTCATGAGGATTAAAGCGCCTGCTTGTAGAAATTATTTGCAACGATCGTTGCACTTGCTCAAGAAATTACGAGGAACAAAAATTTGCCAATCTTCCACCAAAATGAAATAAAGTAAAATTTAGTAAGGAGGTCGATATGGCCTGTAAGTGAAACTAGCCCACTTAACCAGGTTTTTGGAATGTTGAATTACAGATGGCTAGAAACCAGATTTCTTCGGTGTTTGCTTGTGTATTTATTCTTGCATTTCTTTTTCGCTTGGGTCCCCGGAAGTTTAGCAGCTACTTGTCAATTAATTTCTTGAAGTTAACGAGGAATTAAAAATTAACCCATTTCAGGGGATTATCTGAAGCTTTGTCTACGAGACAGAACGAGGATGCACACGTCCCTCCTAGAGGTTGGAATTCATATGACTCCTTTTCGTGGACCATCTCAGAAGAGGAGTTTCTACAAAATGCGGAAATTATCTCTAAGAGGCTACTCCATCATGGATATAAGGTCAGAAATTTCAGATCATGGAGATGTCTAAGTTTCGGGGTCATTTAGGGCCCCATCAGCAAAAACATATATTGATCTTATGCTTGTTTTATATGGCTTTTGAATTCAGAAGTACATCATCCTAAATGAGCCTAGTTTGAGTTTTGTCAACATTCAAGTAATGACACTATTTCACATGTTGATCTTATGCCTTCAGCTGCCTTGCAGTAAGAAATGAAATGATATCATTTTACCTGGTTCATGGACACCCCATTAGTATTATAATGCCTTTGCATTTCTGGTCTCAGAATCCCTTTCTGTTAGATTTACGCCACTTTTTTTTTGTACTTCCTTTCTCATTTCTGTTTTCCCCCTTTTTTCATAGTATGTCGTGGTGGACTACCTCTGGTATAGGAAAAAGGTGAAAGGCGCTCACACAGATTCACTTGGGTATGATGTGATAGATGAATGGGGACGGGTCATCCCTGATCCCCTAAGATGGCCTTCTACCAGGGGCGGTAAAGGGTTCACTGAGGTAGCGAAGAAAGTACATGACATGGGTTTGATGTTTGGGATTCATGTTATGAGAGGAATAAGCACACAAGCAGTCAATGCAAACTCCCCTATCTTGGACATTGCCAAGGTGTTTCTCTTCCCTCCTTGAATTTTAATCCTTTGTCTTTTTTTTTTTTTTAATTTCTGTATCAGACTTTGCCATATTTATTAAGATCTAACAATGATAATTTACGAAGAACTGAAAGTAAATATTCTTTGGAAGATAAGATGCAATAGGAATATATGAATTCAAAATAATGATGCTTAACCACAAGCTTTTCTGATAGGGAGCTGCATATGATGAGTCTGGACGACAGTGGAGAGCGAAGGATATAGGACTGAGAGAAAGGGCTTGCGCATGGATGTCACATGGTTTCATGAGTGTGGATACCAAGTCCGGAGCTGGAAAAGCTTTCTTGAGGTCATTGTATCATCAGTATGCTGAATGGGGTGTTGATTTTGGTATGATTATTAGCAAACTGAAATCCCCCTGGTTTGTTTGTGTTCTCAATCTCATAGATGTAGAGTGTAACAAAATAATGCCATACAAATGAACATAGCAGACATACTCTTGTTATTTATTTCTTGTAAAGACTGAAAACCCTAAGGGACAACGATCTTTTCCCTTTTATACTTATTGGTGAATATACTGGTGATTTATGGTAACAGCTACATCCACTATCAAATCTTTTTTCATTGCAACATCCATTACTGGACTACTCTGATTAGAAATACATGTAGTTTAACAGTAATATAACATTAATAATCATGTGTTTTATCAAGCAAGTTTCAATTCTTAATAGACACTAAAACCAATAGCTTTTTGACTTATTACAGTAAAGCATGATTGCATCTTTGGTGATGACCTGGATGTAGATGAAATAAGTCTTGTGTCAGAGGTATATAATAACTCTCTCCTTGTCCCACCATATCCTTCTTTTTCTTGTTAGGTTATAACCTTTTTGGAGGGAGTAAAAAAAAAAAAGTCATAACGTGAAATTTCTTGTTCAGGTCTTGGAGAAGCTTGACCGCCCTATCTTGTATTCTATCTCTCCTGGAACCAGTGTTACACCTGCCCTGGCCAGGGATATAAGTGGTCTTGTTAACATGTACAGAATAACAGGGGATGATTGGGATTCATGGGGGGATGTGGCAGCTCACTTTGACATATCAAGGTAAGCTCTCTCTCTCTCTCTCTCTCTCTCTCTCCATGTGTGCATGCATATGTGATGCATAACATCTTATGTTTACTTTTATGTCAGGGACTTTGCTAACGCTAATATGATAGGAGTAAGGGGTTTGAAGGGAAAATCATGGCCAGATCTAGACATGCTACCACTGGGATGGCTTACTGACCCAGGTGATTAGTTTGGCAGATATAAGATGTGGAATTCGTCCCTCTTATGTTAGCATGGAGTCAAACAATCAAATGTTCTCTGTTTTTTGAGGCATATAAGATAGGTTGAACTCACAATCTCTTCTTTCAAGGTGTGAATATGCTGGGTTGAACCTGAAGCCTCATATCATCTACTGGCAAAGAAATGTACTTTTTAGTTTTTACCAAGTGTGGTCTTGGGCCAATGGAACAAAGTGAAGATGACCTACCTACTTTCTATCAAAGAGAACTGTGCACCAGTTATTTTTTATTTATTTTTACTGTCTAATATGTCATACCTGGAGCAGAGCGTTTCCAATTAATTTTGGGATTTTCTTTACTAGGTTCAAATCGCGGTCCACACAGGAAATGCAATCTAACTCCCGATGAGCAAAGAACTCAGGTAGATACTTTCTATATTCAATTTGACATACCTTGTTAGCTATTTTACTATGGTTTTTAACAATTTGCATTCTATTTCAATAGATGACTCTGTGGTCTATGGCCAAGTCCCCTCTCATGTTTGGAGGTGATATGAGGAAACTGGACAAGGAAACGCATGATCTCATCACAAATCCTACCCTATTGGAAATAAATTGGTTTAGTACAAACAACACGGAGGTATGCTCCCTGTTTTGCAATTAGTCCTTCCCAAATAAACATAATCAAAGGTTCACAATTGGCATATTTCTTTGTTTTCTTTTCAGTTTCCTTACATCACTGGTACAGAAGATCATAGAAGTAGCAAACAAGTTCTTACCTTGCGGTCCAGGAGTCTGAAGGATGCACACACACCACATAAACTTGTTTTCAGTCTCACAAGCTGCAATGAAAACAGAGCAAAAGGTTGGGTCATTGAAGCTCTTGACCAAGATCTTGAAAGAATTTGCTGGAAAGTTAACTTCCGAAGCAAATACAAGCCATCGCTTTGCCTAAACAAGAGAAAACCTCTCCTGACACCGTATGAAAGTCTTCTGCTTTGTCTTGGTCTATCCATTTAAAATCCATTATTTTTCATATTTATTATTTTATCATTATATTGCTGATTATGTAGAGATGAAGAGATAATTTGCAAACGTAATCATGAAGGTAAATTCCATTTACTACCAAGAGGCACTACAGAGCTTTGCTTGGATGCTTTTCCAAGTCAAAAACTTACTTCACAAGAATTAAGGAGTTGTTTGTTGTCTCCTTGCAGCTTGGATGCTAAACAGGTACTTTTCCAATTCTACCCAAGATACTTCAACTCAACTAAGTCTGGTTCTAACCATAAGGGGCTGGCTACATGATTCCTGTCCCACCATTCAACTCTATCAGTGATTTTGGACCCTCAAGTCATTTCTCATAAAAAAAGGGTCATTTCTCACTACTTTAACCCATGCCCCATTTGGTCTGCCCCTATCTCTTCTACCCAAGATACCTAAGATCTAAATTTCATATTCCTTGGGAATATTTTTCTGTAAGTTCAGCAAGTGTTTATTGGGACTATTACAACCAGAAAAGCAGTGCAATCAATAATATACTGACAGATGAGTTGCATGGTCAGTGTTTTTTTTTTTTTGGCAGTTGCATGGTCTGTTTTATCCCAGTGAAATACTCGGTTTCCATTCTAGTTCATATTGAGTCATCAATAATTTAACTTCCAATGAAGTTATATTAATAAAATAGCTATACAAATTCCCAGTTATTTGCTTGAAAGGTAAAAGATGTAGTAAATCTTTCAGTCTGAAGTATTTGAAATATTTTAAGACAGGTAAGGATTTTTAAGGAAAAGTCAAAAAACCTAAGAGACAGTGCTAAGAGCTGTCTCTTAGGCTTTTATTGGAAAAGCTCAGTTTCATTATAAACTCCATAATTGAATTGCTTTTTCTATGTATGGTAGAAATAAAAATGCATCAATTCATTCTTACTAAGAAAATTAGTAATTGAAGTTTTATCTAAGCAGGAAGAAGTAAAAATGAATTTGATAAATAAAAACTAATTTGGCTCTATTATGAGACTTGAATTTTCAAGATCTTCAGTTAAAAATGTCAGCCGTAAGGTGTATTCCACCAGTGTTTATGAGTCTATTTCTTCAATTTCAACGTCATGTTGTTAATCACTTTCATCTTGATTTCACAAGTTAAAGTTGTATTAATTATATTCATTCAATGAAACTAACATATTTATACCTGACAGATGTGGGAGTTAAACCTTAATGGAACACTGGTGAACAACTATTTTGGTCTTTGTGCAGTAGCAAAGATTGTTGAAGGTGATATTATACTCCATGTTTTTTTAATCTACTCTGTTTAAATGTGTAATATTTGAAATTTAATCATTATCATTAGCATCATCATCCATGCCTTATCCCAACTATATGGGGTCAGCTACATGAATGGTCCTGTTTCACCAATCCATTTTATTTGAAATTTAATATTTTGAAATAATAAAATGATTATTCAATCAGGTAATGCCAATTCTGGCGGAATTCGCTCTTGGGTTGCAACTGGAAGACAAGGTCAGTATACCTATTACTTGTACACATCCCCCCTCCCCGGCATCCAACCCCGAACTGTGTGTGCGCGCGTGTGCGTGCGCGTTTTGGTAGTGGGGAGGGTGGGTGCGCAAAAAGCCGTCCTTCAACTTTTGTATAATTTGTATTTTATGTTGATCCTTGGCGTCGGCATCACTTTTCTTGTTATGAAGAAACAGCAAAAAACAAGTTTGATGCCTATAATTTGGACAAAGTTTGTCCATTATCCTATTCTGGTCATTGTGATCCAGGGTCTTGCGAAGACTGATATGATTTTGACCCTTTTTTGTTATTGCCATGAAGTGGCAGTTCTCAGACTCAGAACCACAATATCACACTTATCAGCACAATAATTTTATTCCTACTCTTCTGTTTTTCCCATCCTTAAGACTTATTTCTTGCTTTGTGTAGGAGAGGTGTATGTTTCATTTTTCAACTTAAGCCCTCGCAGAATGACAATATCTGCAAAGATATCAGATCTGGCTAAAGTGCTTCCTAATATGAACTTGGACAAAACTAAATGTACGTACAGTGAAGTGTTCAGTGGGAAAGACTATGGGGTGGCAAAGGAAACAATATCAATGGCGGTTGAGACACATGGTTCGGCATTGTTTATATTGCACTGTTATTAGTTTAAACTTTGCTCCATTTTTTGGGTGCGTCTGTAGAAAGCTAGAAAATTTGAACTTTCTAATAAAGTTCTAATGCAAAAAAAAAAAAAAAGTATTAAAATGGAATCAATCAAGACTATTCTATCTTTCTGTCTTAACGCTCTCATTATCTCATACCATTCTCTTCTTTTTCCTTGTTACCCCTCAAAAGCAGGATTTATAGATTACTTTATCTCTGAAGAACAACCTTCCAGTGTTGCTTTGGTCAAAAACTCTACAGTGTGCTTAAAACATGCTTTTTGGCTGATATTAGCTCAAAAGATAACAATCCCAATCCATCATCGGCCGGAGCCAGTGTTGCATTGCATCTTCTGAACACATTACTATTTTTTTTTTTTATTTGTTTCTTAACACGTCATTTCAGTTACCATATGGGAACCCAGTCTTTTATGGTATACTGAAATACCACTAATATCATACTTCAAAAAACTAAGATATCTTTTTTTTTCTAAAGAAAACTAAGATATCAATCCATTTACATCCAAAATTGAATTTTTGTTTGGGTTTTGGCAGTCCTGGGTCTGGTTAGCACTTTGTTCAAACCAAGCCCAATTAAAATGGGTTGGGTTCAGGCCCATTTGTTCACATAAGGTTTTTTTTTTTTTTTTCATTTGTGTCAGGGTATAAGTATGACTTCCGCTTATTTGATAAATGGTGTCTGGTCATTGCCATGTGGTATTTGTTACATCGCATTATTTTGTACGTTTATTTTGATTTATGTACAAGTCAACCCTTGGGAAAAGTTTTTTTTTAATGTTTCCTTCAATAGGTATTTATTTATTATTCTTCTTATATAGCACCTAGTAACGTTTAGCTGTCAATAAAACGTTTATTTAATAACGGGAGTATATGTTTGGTATGTGATAGTCTGAGTGGGTATGTGATAGTCCAATGATAAGCTTGGGGCCCTAAAATAAATACGCCTATTTATGTGATAGCTCAAAGACAAAAAATTAACTTTTATTTTTTATTTTTTGATAAGTAAGTCCAATGATAAACTTGGGCCCTAAAATACATCTCGATCCTAGTCAGCAGGTGCAAATTGGGCTGGATTAGGCAGATTGAGATCTAACACTAATCCAAACCGAGTTGTAGAACCCTAACTCCATGAACTGGGATTGGGTTGGGTTGGATTTCGATTGGCCCGACTTATTTTACCTTTTTTGCCAAATGTTATTCTTTTTGGACTAAGGATTGAGGTAAATTAAGTTTTGAATCTTTTGACATTATCATATATACAAGCAACGTTTTAAAAAATGGCCCAAAAATGGAATTGATCTAGTCACTGGTTTTTGGGTTGACGGTCTAATTGTTCAGTTTGAACGGACGGCCCGTTCTGACAAATAAATTTAAAAAATAATTAAAAAATAAAAATGGTCAAAATTGTTGAATGGGTCAACGGGCAAACCGCCCAAGTCAACGGGTTGTTGACCTTTTCAATGGTTTTTAGTCAAAGACCAGTTTTGGGGTAAAACAGAACTGGTTGCTTGTATGGTTCCCAGGTCGAATGGTCCGATCGTCTGGGTCAACGGCAATTCGAAAACCTTGTATACAAGGACATAGTTATCATGCTTTAGAAAAAAAAATTATCTAAATTTTAATTTGTTGGTACATGTGTATATAACATACATAGATATAAATATATAGATATGATATATGCATGATAACTGATGTAGCGCGATCCGATCACTCCTAGCTGACACTCACAAGGCTCTTGGAAGGTATTTGAGATGAAGAAGAAGAAGAATCCCCGGTGGGAATACTCCGATGCTTAAGTTAGTACTCTGTAGGAGAAGCAAAAGGAATATAAAGGCTAAGAGTGCAGATAGCGCGTTCTTGCTATACTCGAGAGATTAGAAGTCTCAAGAAGAAGTTTCTCTTCTGCCCTAAGGGCTTTTTTAATGGGGCGCTCATGCTAGGTCGGGCATAACTGCCACTGAGTTCCTGCCACAGCCGTTACCCGCCAAGGCTGCACAGGTGGCCGTTGTGACGTACTTCTCGCCTGGGTGAGTGACACGTCTCCAAAGTGGCAGGCACGCCTTTGCCTGCTGAGATACGTGGACGCAGACTGCCGAAAGGACGGGGACTGTGCCGTCAGTAAGGGATATGGCGCAGTCTGATCGGTACGGCCTGTCAGACAGAAGCTTCCTGAGGAGTGCTAATGCGGCTCATTCCCGAGCTACTTTATAGCGGGCTTGGGACACTTCAGGATTACCCTTAATAGAATTGGTCCTTGGGATGACTTGTCTGCTTGGGAGCTCGGGCGAGCTAACAACTTTAGCTCGCGAGCTAAAGTTGCCTCGGAGTATCTCTTCAAAAGTAGCTCGGGGGACCCGGAGCTCGCGTTGTGGCGAGCTCCTCCTTTTGTTCGCTACAATATAGCAAGCTGCTTTATGGGCCCGTCACTTGGTCGCACCAGGCTACAACGCTGAGCTGTCGTTCGTGCTGAGTCAATGTCCATGTGTCACTGTTTCATAGGTTGGGTCAAATCATCCTCCATCAATAACTATTTTCATACCTGTATAGTTGCATATATACATGTATAAACAAAGAGGTGTTCATGGTTCAGTTTGGGTTGAGCTTTTACCAAAATTTGAATATAGCCCAAAACTCAATTCCAGAGTAGTGCAAATTGTTTATGGATGGGAACCCAAGCCTGGCCCATGAATAGGGTTTACATACAAATATGAAGTCAAGCTCGGGTTGGGTCAGATTGATTCCTTTCAAGCCTAACCCTAGCCTAAAATTTAATCCGATCCAATCAATCCAATTTTAGGTTGGGTTCAAGTTAATCTGGCCCAAGTTGCAAAAGGCTAACACCCTGCACCTAGGCTGCTAAAAGCTCGAAAAAGGGCTGAACAGGTTGCGAGCCACATTGAACTGGGTCTGGGTGGGCCGACCCAACTCCCAAGTTGGTTTGGTTGGTCACCTTTGTCATAGTGTTTTCAACCCATTTCGGTCATGATTTTAAGTATGGTTCTAGTGAAACATGGGAATTGGTAAAAAACAGTGGATTTGGTAAAAAAAAGTCTGACCCGGGTAGTAAGATCATTGATCCATTCGATCTAGTGACTGGGTTGTGGATTGCATACCAAATGTGTATGCAAAATTCTAATATATATGCATTTCAAGGCACCTACCATAGGCATATTGCCTCGTTAATTTTGTGAAAATCTTTTTTTTTTGCCGCAAATTGCATTTTTTATTATTTTACAAATAAAAAAACTAAAAATTGGATTAAAAATATAAAATAATACATATGTTTCTAATTATACATATTTATTGATAAAATATATATATTTATACACAACCGTTTGGGCCTGATCCATTCAACCCGAACGGTTGAACCGGTGACTCACGACCCAGAAGCAAAAATGGTTGAGCCTCCGGGTCGATTTTTAAAACATTGCTTTGTCATGCAAATTGGAGGGCCAAATTCCCCGAACTCGAACTCGAATGCTAGCACGGTAGCACCCCGTGAAAACGTACGTGGCCTTCAACGTTAGTTCTTCGCGTATCCCTCGCTCTCTTCACAAATCACAACGAGACGCAAACAAAAAGAAGTAAAGAACTGAAATCTGAAACTCGTCCTTCTGTCTGCACTTCAGAGGGCGTCAGTATCAAATTTCTTCGTTTCGCACGATAAACAAAGAAACACTCGGAAAAATAGAAGGTATTGGGCAATTATGCGTTCGCCATCGCTGAATCTTATCTCAACCGCTTACATGTTCGATTTCAAAAGATGAAAGATGAATCACGTAGCAGCCAAGTTTATTGATTCAATCTAGTTGATCATTTCTACTTCAATGGATCATTGTTGTTAGGTTACTACGGGATTCTGACCATTAATTTGATTTCTTCTATCACTTTCTTTGGATGTCCTAGTCATTTATTTTCGGATCATCAACATATTCATGATACGTCGATGGCTTTCAAGATCTTATTGTTGTTTTCTTTAATTCTTATAATACTTAGTGATCAAAAGCTATCAGAGCATAGACAAATGGGAGTCTGACCAAACGTTCTGTGGCATTTTTATCCAGTGCTAACGCTTAGACAATCTGTCGAACTTTTTTTCCAGTCTATTATCTCAACTTTATACGCTTCTTGATTGGTGCATTCTTTCGCTCAGCCTCTCTTACAGCTTATGGGTTCTGGATTGAAGGAAAATATTAAGAATCACTCTAGTGCTATCAGACCAAATGGGTCTGAAGTTCATACCGAACAGAAGCAACCTTTTGTGATTGGTAAGTTTATTTCTTTGCGAGTAGTCTCTCTCTCTCTCTCTCTCTCTCTCTCTCTCTCTCTGTGGTGGTGTCTATATTTGACAGTCCAAAACAGTACAATCTTTAATCTCTTCAAGGGCCAAAAATAGCCAAAGAACCCAAACCTGCCAATTTCCTGGTTGGATACTCTAAGTAACTATTTGTTAGGATTCAGGGAAAAACAAACAGGAAGCAGGAATACTTTTCATTACTGTTGATAAAGTCCATGAAAAGAAAGTACAGGAACAGCATGGTAACTTATTTGAATTTGGAGAAAGCTTGGAATATACACCTATTGCAGCCAATTTCTCTATTTTCATAGTGCCATGGCTTTGCATCCAATTCTTTTGTCCCATTGAGAAAATTGTGGTTAACCAATTTGTTGCACCTCGTTATCTAGTGTGTTATATTGCCCTTTTATTTTATGAGCGTTTTGGTATATCTACAGGAGTTGCTGGTGGTGTACTGCATCTGGATATACTACTCTTTATAACATCTGGAATGCTTGGAATATACACCTATTTCAGTCAATTATCTTTATTTTCTTAGTGCTATGGCTTTGCATGCCAATTCTTTTGTCCCATTTAGAAAATTGTGCTTAATCAATTTGTTGGACCTCGTTATTTAGTGTGTTATATTACCCTTTTATTTTATGAGTGTTTTGGTATATCCACAGGTGTTGCTGGTGGTACTGCATCCGGAAAGACTACTGTTTGTAACATGATTATTGCCCAGCTCCATGATCAAAGGGTTGCTCTTGTGAATCAAGTACGTTCCTTTCCTTCTTTTAATCTATTTGTTATGTTTAGAGTTTTAAGCTGCTTTGATTTTTTTTATCAAAAATTACAGTAGGAATGTTCTTCTAATTTATTATTGCTGTCAAAATAATCAAGAGATTCAGTATGCATAGGTTCTGTCAGAAACTGCTAAGATCCTCTGTAGTTGGAGGATATGCAACTATAGCGGTCAATTACAAGTATTTCTTTTTTTCTGTCTTTGTTGGATATCCTTTTGCCATCCAGATTTAGATTTCTACTCAACCAGTTGGAATTGACAATTTCCAACTTCACAATTATAACTGTTCAGATTTTGTTCATTATCTAATTTAAGTTTTTATCTATACAATGCTGATCAAGGAATGCACAAATGCTTTCATTGGATTACCTGCAATATATTTATCAGATTACGAGAATAAAATGTGCATAATTTCTAATCTAGAAATGCACCAAGCATGGAAAGATAAGTTATAAACCTATTATCCTTTAGGCCTTGGGCATATGATTGGTAAAGAAAACTTAATTGCAATCAAAACATTGCCATTGTATTTGGATTTACTTCATAATTACCTAGGATAATCCATTTATAAAATCGTCATCATCTAAGCCTTATCTCAATTCTACATGAATCCTGTTTCGCCATTCCATTCTGTTTAACGCCATATCCATTGTTAAATATAATCCATTTATTAGATACTAATAGAAAAATACCATTCATGTTCTTATTTCCCAAAAAGAAAAGTAAAATAAGAAATTAATAATTATTTGATCGACTACAATTGATTCCTGCTGGAACTTCCATCTATAAGTGAATGCTATATTGCCAAAAAAAAGAGCCACTTAACTAAACCCTAGGGACTAAAGAAGGACCTAATATAGTCATATAAAGGGTTTGTAAATTTCCAAAATATAGGTGTAAGGTAGAATGGCTGAATTTATATTAGCTTAAATTTGAATATTTGGAAAAGTGGATTAGGTGATGGTTTAAAAATTAGGGGTTTAAAAGAGAATTCATCCGAAGAAAATTGGAGAGGAGAAAAGGAGAAAATTAGGGGTTTATTGAGAACTTGGGAGAGAAAAGGAGATTTTGCCCTACAAATGGAAACAATTGATTAGGCTATGAGGATAAGAAATTAGAGCCTCAAATCCTCAAACATAGAACTATATTTAAGATGTAGATTTTACAATTTATAAGGAGAGGAGAAACCCTCAAATCATTATCGTTGTCGTCATCATCATCATCGTCATCATCCATGCCTTATCCCAACTATATGGAATCAGCTATGAATCCTGTTTCCCCAATTCATTCTATTTAAAGCCATATCCATTGTTAAATTATTAGTGCTTAAATCAATTCTTACTACTACCCATGTCCTTTTTCGTCTACCCCTAGCCTTTCTGACCCCTTGACCCTTCAAATTGTAACAAATCCCTTCTTCTTACTAGTGTTGTTTGTGGTCTTCTATGCATGTGGCCAAACCATCTTAGTCCACTTTTTCTCATTTTATCACCTATCCGGGATACTTCTAGATTCCTACAAATGACTTCATTCTTGATCCTATCCTTTCTAATTTTTTTTCTGCTCATTCATCTAAGAATTCGCATTTCTGCCATATTTATTTTCTGGACATGTTGAGTTGATTGACCCTCCTTTGAATGGAGGAAGGTTCACTTGGTCTAATTGTCAGATTCCAGCCATCCTTAGGAGGTTAGACAGATTCCCGTTCACACAGGATTGGGTGGAACGCGCAGGAGAAGTGGTGCAAGAACCGTTGGCCCTCCAAATGTCCGATCATAAACCAATAGTACTAAGGACTTGGTTACTTCAGCCGAATTTTGTGGAATGGGTAGAAGAGAAGTGGAAGGAAGTGTCAGAAGAAGGTTCAGCAGATCAAAAAGTTACAGAGCATCAAAGAAAGTCTAAAGGGGAGGAGGAGGGAAGTTATTGGAGGGGAGGAGATCAGAAAGAAAGAGGTTCTTGAGAAGATGGCCAGTCTAGAAAGAGTTAAAGAAGAAGGAGATTACAGAAGGGAAGTCAAAATAGAGATGGCAGCTTTGGAAAGGGAGCTAGAAGACTTAACCTTGAGGGAAGAGATAAGGTGGAGGCAAAAGTCTAGAGCTCTATGATTTCAAGGGTTCAAATAGGGGATGGGGTGGTAGACACTTGGGGTGAAATTCAAGAAAAAGTGATGAAGTATTATAAGGACTTGTACACAGGAAGGAATTGGAGTTGGGTGACCTTGGGAGATTTAGAACCTAGTCGGAAAGTGACACTGCAGCAGGGTGGCTGGAGAGGGAGTTTGAAGCAGCAGAGGTAAGGGGGAGTTGAAGAAGATTAACAGGGACAAAGCACCAAGTCCGGACGGCTTCAATTTTAACTTCATTAAAATCTGTTGGCATGTATTGGAGGACTTTATGCAGATGTATAAGGAGTTATGGGAATCCAAAGTTATAGATAGAAGGGTAAATGCCACATTCATTTCTCTAATTCAGAAGAAGAGCGGGACAGTGGATATAAATGATTTCAGGCCGATAAGTTTAATAAGTAGTCCATATAAACTACTGGTGAAGGAGCTGGAAAACAGATTAAAAAGGGTGGTTCAGGAGGTGGTAGGGGAATCTCAGATGGCATTTGTAGAAGGAAGGCAAATACTGGATGGAGTACTAGTGGCGAGACTCAAGATTAAGAAGTTGCAGGCCGGGATTAGTGTGCAAGTTAGATATAGAGAAGGCCTATGACTATGTGGAGTGGGGATTTTTGGAAGAGATGCAAAGATTGATGGGTTTCAGGGAGAGGTGGAGGGGCTGGATGTATGGGTACTGTTTTGGAATGGTAGAATACTGATATGTTTCATTCTATTGCCAATGGGCATATTTATACAGTAAGCTGCTGCAATAAATAGAAAGAAAGAAAATAAAATAGGAAGAAGAAAAAATAGAAAGAAGAGAAAATAGAAAGTACAAAAATAGAAAGAAAAAAACTTTCTAAATCAATCCTTCCAC